CACCAAAAGTCCAAAGTCTCATCTGTGAAATCAAAACAAATTATGTACTTCCAGGATACAATGGTGGGACAGCATACATATTCCCATTGAAAAGGGAGAAATAAGCCCCCAAAAAGGAGTAACAGGTCCTAAGCAAGTCTGAAGCCCAGCAGTGCAGAAATTAAATGTTAAAGCTGGAGAATAAACTCCTTGACTCCCTGTCTGGCATCCTCTGCACACTGGTGTGGGGGTTGGGCCCCAAAGTCCTTGGGCAGTCCCACCGTTATGGCTTTCCTGGACTCAGTTCATGCTTCACCTCTCCCAGGCTGGTGTTCAATGCCAGTAACTCTACGGTTGTTTGGTCCCGCTCCCACTGCTCCACTAGGCATGACCATGGTGGGGATTCTCTGCTGCAGCTCCCACCCCACATTTCTGGTTGGCATTGCTCTAGTGAATGCTGTCTGCAGTGACTACATCCCTGTGACACATCTCTTCCTGGGCCACCAGGCTTTTTCATATATCACTTGAAATCTGGGCAGAAGCTGCCATGTGTCCACAGCTCTTGCATTTTGCTAGCCTGCATACTTAACACCATATGGACACTACCAAGGTTTCCTGCTTCCAAAGCAGCAGGTCTAGCACCTGGGGCCAGTTTACCCATGGCTGGAGCAGCTGGAGCAGCCGGGATGTGGGGAGCAGCATCCCGAGGTGGCCTTGGGCAGCAAGTGAAATGAGGCCTGGGCCTGTTCCCCTAAACTATTCTGTCTTCCTACATCTCTGGGCCTGTAATGGGAGGGGCAGCCTTGAGGATCTCTGAAATCTTTGGGGTCTTTCTTCTGTTATCTTGATGAACTCTCTTCTCGTGGTAATCTCCTTAGCACATGGTCACTGGGTTACACCCTTGGTTTCCTTGCTGGAAAACATCTTTTCACTGTTTACCTGGCCAGGCTGAGTTTTCCAGTTTTTACCTGTTGCTTCTCTTTTAATTATAAATTCCAGCTTTATGTCATGCCTTTGCTGCTGTAATTCAGCATAAGCTGTTAGAAATCACCATGCAGTTAGCTACTTGAATACTTTGCTGCTTAGAAATTTCTTCAGCCAAATACTCTGGTTAGTCACTCTCAAGTTTTACATTCCATAAAGCCCTGGGGCATGGATACAACCCATCCAAGTATTTGCCAGTTCACAACTGTGGCCTTTGCTCCAGTTTCCAATAAGCACCTTCTCACTTACATCTGAGACTTCCTCAGAATAGTCTTTACAGTTCATATTTCTATCAGCACTCTGGCCACCACCATTTAACTAGTCTCTAAGAAGTTCCCATCTTTCATAATCTGTCACCAGAACACCTTTAATATAACATTTACAGCAATCTAGGCTTTTTCTAGAATGCTCCTCCAAATTCTACAAGCCTTTTCCCATTACCCAGTTTCAAAGCCACTTCCACATTTTCAGGTATTTGTTATGAACAACATCCCATTTTCCGTGCCAATTTTCTGTATTTGTTGGATTTCCCACCCTCATAACACTATTACTTTACAATGGGGATCAAGTTTCTAACACATGAACTTTTGGGGGACACATTCAACCCATAGCAGGTGGGAATTAGGAAAAGTGGTCAGAACAGTAAAACAAATAAACAAAACCTCAGTCATTTTCAAAATAGATTCAAATATAAATGAAGCAACAAGGAGGGCAATAGGTACATTATTAGGTATTGGAAGGTTTTAGTGACCATTGAGGGTAAAAATGAATTCATATTTTGTTTTCGTCTTCAATGGCAAGGAAATTATGTTCAAACTAGTATGTACAAGGTAAACATTATTAAGGGGGACTTGAAATCAAAGAGAAAACAGGGTATTCATCTCTAAAGTAAACACATTTCTTAGCCTGGACACATTTCATTAGTAGTACTTAGAATATTATAGAATGAAATCACCAGCAGCTCTTGGTAGTTTTTCAAAAATTGTAAGAAATGGGGGTGGCAGAAGAATAGACATAGTAAATATAAGCGTTTTGAACTGAGTGCTACAGAAATTGAATCTTTTCCATTTTGAGCATATAATGAGTACTTTTGAAATCAACTTTGTTTTCACATCTCTGGAGCATATTAAAATATTGTTGAATTTTATCTTTTTATCTTTTTTGGATGTTCTTGGTGTAGTGTACTAAGGTGAGCATGTAGTTTCCATACAATTTGACCACTAGATGGTGCTCATACAGAGGGATTTGTATGTATATGATCGACATTTTTATACATAAATAATAAATCTATGTTATCAATCTTCTCAGTTCAGTCTTAATCTTTGTGCACTCATGTTTTGAAATTTAATAGCCCAGATTATAAAGGTAAAAGGATAAGAAAAATACCTATTATGTTGCATTTACAGTATGTTAGCTTTGTATAGTTATGGTAAATTTTTTTTTAGTATTTTAGTGTTTCCATATTGTTTTTCCTCTCGTCCTTCAAGCTTTTAAATGTTTCACTAAGATTATTTAATACTTGCCTTTGTTACTATACCTGAAGACTTCTGGGTTTGTGATTTTGGAAATGTGTACAAATAATTGAGGGCCTATCCTGTATAAATTTTGAAAATCTTTGCTTCCATTTAATATTATAAAATAAATATTTCTCACAGTCATAAATTTTCCATAATCATAATAATTCATTGAATGTGTGTACTTAGTTTACTAAATTAAGCTTTCTTCCATTGTTTAGGGCCAGAATGCTACTATGAATTGTATCATCACTCTATGTAAAAGAAAAATTAAAACTGTACATAAAAAAGAATGTTAATTCTTTGTCTATTATATTTAAATGTTAATAGTGGTTTTTTGGTGGCTTAGGTTGCATATTTTTTAATTTATTATTTTATATAGGCTTTTCAGGTTTTTCCGTAATGAACTTAAAATTTGTTTTAGTGGAGTTTATCTTTCAGCTCTCCTACATAATGTGAAGCTATTCTAAAGCTCAGAACAGTTCATTGCCTTCTGTTTCCTAATCAAATCATGTCAAGCCAATTGTGATTTAGGTACATACATGGTTTTGTATGCATGATCTGTCTACTGGCCAGTAGATGCTGGACATTTTGTAAAGAAGTCTTTCTTAAAACTTGAAGTTGTATTCTTGATCTGAGTGTATTTGAATAGAAAATTCATGCATTGAGAAGTATTTCTTCCTGTACTCAGGGGAGGTATATGATAGAGTGATGTGTCAACTTTAGATTGTACACAAGCTCCCCCAAGCTCTTTGGCTTTTTAAGATAAATCTATGTATATCGGGGGCTTACTATTCTGTCTGTACTGGTACTGTTCCCAACTTGAGTAGATTTGAATTCAACATTTGTATTCAGTATTCTCATCCATACTAATCCACAATAACAGAGCCTATATCAGTTCGGTGCAGGGGGGGGGTGTGTTTTTTTTCCTTTCCCTGGGTTTTTATCAGACATGGATGAAGGCATATAATTTGGGGCCGAACCAACTACTACAGCACTTGTATAAACCACACCAGTCAGTTCTTTTTTTAGTACCTGGTCCCTACTAAAATCTTAATTTTTTTCAGGAAGTTTCATTTTTTCCTTCAGAGAGGATTCTTAGTTCTCTGTCTACCCTTTTTGTGTTTCTATATCCCCTTACTCCTGGTTAGACACGACCAATCTATCTAGGCCACAGATTGCCAGCTACTGATTACATAGTCCTTGGGAAGAAGCACCAGACTTTCTGTTCTAATCTCACATACCATCTTCACCCCAAGAGTCCCACATGGCTCTCAGTACTTGTTGGGCATATGTGTGTATCTTTGGGAAGAAATCATAGAAACAGCATTAGCACCTTTTCTTGTTGAGCCAGGATTTGCAATAGACCTCAGGTTGTAGTTTACTGATGCTGCTTTCCAGTAGGCTGCATCTAGTAAGTGCTGGTAAACACATAGATAAGCAAGATATTGTCAGTCCATATCAGAAAAAAAAAAAAAAATCCATGGCTAAAGTTATGAATTATCATGTGCACATATCAACTTAAAAATTGAATTATTCAACCATTAGTAAATTATCAAGCAGCAGTTTTGTTCAGATACTATTTTAAAGTGACCATATATTGTAATGTATACTAATATAGCATAGTGTTAGGAGGACAGACTTAGGAGTGTGTGGTTCTCAAACTTGAAGGTGCTTAAGTCACTTAGAGAGCTTTTTAAAAATAAAAATTTTCAGGTTCCCATACCCCTAAAAATTTTGATGGGGATGCCAGTCCATGTTTTTAACTAGCACTACAGGCAGTTCTGAGGTTAACTACTATGTTGAGAAACACAGTCATAGATATTAGATGTTATAAAATGTCTATCTAACAATCAAACAATATTACTTTGTGAACTAGAATGTTATTTATGTGTAGTGTTAGATAAAACACATTTCACTGTTATAAAACAAAAAATTTTCCAACATTAATTGTTTTTCTTTTTTTACCTCAAATTTATAACCTTGTAATCTTAATGTTTATATTAGAGGGATGATGCTGATAATTTCTTAACAATTCTTTTTTATCATAAAAGTTCCAGAAGCCAAATATTTATTTTGCTAATTAATCTGTTTCTGTCCCCAGATTCAATTATCAAAGCACTAAAAAACAATATTTTATGTGAAATCATTGTGCTACATTACAGATGGATTTCCTCTGTCATTACATCCTTAAGAGTTTAATGTAGAAAATACCCATAAATTACTTAGAACCAGCACTAAATAATGTAAAATCTTTACTGATGTAGAAATTCGAATGTGAATGACAAAGGTACTTTTAGTGAAATTTTTTTTAACAATCGGAACTGTTGGCAGAAAGAATCGCCTTGTATTTTTAAATTCAGTTCATATTTATAATTTATGTAAGCACTGAAGATGCCATTGGATTTTAGTACACTGTGATTGAAAGTTGGTGATCCAGGGTTTCTCCACCCAGTGAATTAAATCAGGCAGCCCCAAAGGGTCTTGGTAGTCCAGTGTTTATAACATCCTTCTTTACCTGCTAATCGACTTCACTTCCTGGATTTCATTCCATCTAGTTATCAGCTAACAAAAGAACAGCTTTTGGTTCCTGAAGATGCTGGTGAAAAAATAATCATGAGAAAGAAATCCACCTTATGTCGTCTCTTTTGTCTGCAAGAATAAACTCAGCCATCATACAGCTAACAGGTACAGAGCAGAGGGAAGACACAAGCTCTTTCATAGGAAGAAATTACAGAGAAAATGAGCATCATTTCTCCAGGTTTTTATTTTCCCTGATCTACAAGTGATGCTGCTGTAATTCTAGCTGCAGTTTGTACCGATCATTCACCACTCAGCAGCTAGTAGAGAAGTAAGACTGCTTGGCAACCACCTGCAGGGCTGCAGAGATGAATTACATTTTCGGAAACAACACACTTCTGTACTCTCGCGCCAGTCGAGGAGGCAATACTAGCTCTAGCCATGGCTCAGTAGGCCCAAAGCAGAAACACTGGGCAAAAAAGGGCTCATCAGATGAACTGCAAGCTGAGCCAGAACCTTCACGCTGGCAGCAGATAGTTGCATTTTTCACTCGAAGACACAGCTTTATTGACTGCATCTCGGTAGCCACCAGCTCCACCCAGGTAAAATACCACTTGTTGAAATTACTTTCAATATATTTCTGTTCACATTTGCTTGCAAAAATGTCTTAGTACAGATTTCCTGTTATTAAAAAATAATCTTATGCACTGAAACCCTGGATGCACAGAAATGTATGTTTTCAGTTAGTTCATCTTGCAGGTCTTCAGCACAAAAGGGCAAACAAAAAATATTTTCCCTTATGCTCTTATGTAATGCCAAACAAAACAGCCTCAGATTCTATTAAATGACCTCTCCAAAAATATAAAACCATTCATACGTAAATTAATAATGCTCCTCTCCTTATTTTTAGACTGTGTTAGATGCTACAGAGTATGATGTTTGTTCAAAGAAAATGCTTGTTTAGTTTTTGTATGTTATTAGATAACCTTAGGTAAAGATTGTTAGAATAAAGAAACAAGATAATTTGAAATATTTTCATTTTCCGGCATTTTAAGAATAGATTAAATTTAATACAGTTGGCTATATATACTTATATCTTAAAGTTATATTAAATTATGGTTTATGTAAGGGATTTAATGAATCCTTCCATTTCTTTAAATATATTATCCAGGATTAATTTGAAATCAGCAAACTTGTGCAATTACACAGTCAAGGGAATATTTTTCACATATTCAAATCACAGTTTAGAGAAATGAGCAAACACTAAAAGTCTCCCAAATTAAAAAAAATAAATAACATAAAACCACTTTTTAATGAGGAAATGAGTATTGAATATAAGAGGAAAATATAAAATTAATGATTGACTGAAATAACTATTGTTTGGTATAAGAGTGGTTTGGGGGGAATATTTTTATTTTTAAATATATTTTTAATAGATATTTATTCAACTTTAGTAAAAATAAAAGGATGAGCAAGTCTAATTTAAAAACAAGTTGAGAATGTTTTTGTCTTCGAACATCAGTAATATTTAAATTAACAAAATATATAAACATACATATACATTTCTTAGGACCTTTTTAAAATAAAATCCCTTAAGGTTATCTTTTTTTTTAAAAGTAATTGTAAGCAGCACAATAGATATAAAATGTAACTGTCAGCAGCTTCTTTATTGTATTGTTACTAGAATTGTCTTTTAATACTTTTGATTTTAAAATAACATCAGCTTTCTTAAGTAAGAAATTCTTATTTTCCTTACATGTTTGAGAGAAATAGAATTACTGGGGTAGGGAGTCATTATTTTATGTAGGCATGGAGGTTACTTACAGTCAAAACTTCTCGAGGGGCAATGGGGCGCTATGATTGTTTAACTCTTAAGATTTTCCTTACATGTTTGAGAGAAATAGAATTACTGGGGTAGGGAGTCATTATTTTATGTAGACATGGAGGTTACTTACAGTCAAAACTTCTCGAGGGGCAATGGGGCGCTATGATTGTTTAACTCTTAACTTAAACACTGCCCCAAGAATTTAACAAACTTGATTTTGACTATAATTACATATATCAAAAAAGAATACAAAGACTAAAGGTTGACATTGTTATTTATTGTAGATTAATATTAAATGATATTTCCATTGTCAATAAGCAAGATATCTTAAAAATTTTATATGTGTATATATGGTTTATATAAATACACACACTACTCTATATATGTACATACACAGACACATACACACTACCATTGATATGTCTGTATTCATCTTATTAAGATACAAATTACAAATGAAAAGACAGGAAGAATAGTTCATATATAAAAAACTATTGAAACCACAGAATTATATTATAGTTACTTAGGAATTGGAACAAAAAATTGCTTTCGTATTACACTAAAATAGAGCCGTGACCTCTGTTTGCAATTGAACCTACAAAGCCATTTTAAATTTATCTCCCCCTGCCCCCATCATTCTTGTATACTGATAAATGAGTTAGTTTTTATTTCTTTCAGATGTCTTTCCTGATACTCACTTTTCATTATCTTTGTATTCAATCTATAGAAAGTATGGACATTAGGTTAGAGGTTTTAGCTTCTATTTCTCCTGCTCTGGAGTAACAACATTTTATTTTCATTTTATATGTTTTTTTCTAACTGATGAGTTGAATAGTTTATATTACAGGATAAAATCTAATGGGCTTGAGAAAGAACTTTAGACATTTGGATCGTAGTTGATGCTAGTATACATTTTTCTATTTCACCTCTGACTCACAGCTGGCAGTTTTATTTTGTAGCACCAGAGGGATTTGTGTATTGTTATAAACAAGGTAGATTAATGAAATTTCATAATTTATTGAGCATATACTATATACCTATTATAGTAGTGTGGTAGTTTTTGTACTATGTTTGATAAATAGAGGCATCCTATTTCACTGTTGTCAAAAGTACTCTTTTCTAAGATTTGATTAAAAAATTAACTTTGAATTTAATTCCTTTTGACTAGGCCATACGATATTTTTAGTAGATTGGAGAGTTGTTATTAAATCAAGTTTTATTAGTATGAAAACTATTACTCTGATTTAATATCCCCCCATATCTGTTATAAATAAAAAGAAAATTTACTTATTTTATGGATTCATTTATATTTCTTAGCTGCTGGAGATGTTCATGTTCGTAGATAAGATTATGTGACAGGTTCTACTGTAATATCTGGAATTTAGTAGGAAATCATTGATGTTTTTTGAATGATAAAAAAACCAAGTGGTTATAAACTTCTGCAAGACAGCCAGCTTCCAGGATAGATTATTAGTACATGTCTTCAATTACTGTTTATGGAATTCATTAATTAATTTCTATTTCAGTCACCTGGAGTGTTTTATCTCCTAGTCTTCCAAAATATGGCACCTAATCTAACACCTCTTGGGTACTTTTATTTATTGGATCTGCTCTCTTCCCTCACAAGTACCTTGAGTTCTTCACAGTAGCCCATCTCTTCCTCCACTTCCCTTTTCTTACCCTCCGTTCTTCACATTATCCTCATGCTACACAAATCCCCCATGCACCTGATTTCCTCAGTTCCTCAGCCCTTTCAATCCTCACCCAATAGTGATAACCATATAGCTTACAAACTGTCTCTAATTTTTATCATTTTATTGTATCTCAAAAGTTTACACTGTGGGTTTTTTGGGGGCTTGTCTTTTTTTTTTTTTTTTAATGTTAAATTAAGATAAGTTTCTTATGAATTAGTTTATTTTGGTGTAAGTTTTTCTATTTTGGGTTTTATTCTACTTATGTCCTTAATTTTAAACAGTTAATATAATATAGACAAAGTGGTCTAGACAAAGTGGTCTAGGCATTGTCAAGCCCTCCTTTGTCCTCACCTCAGCATCCCTCCTATTCTTGCATTTAAGATCACTTGATGTCAGTATGCCTTGTCCTATTTAGCTTACTCAGCCCTGTTCCAGTTTACCACCAATTTTTATGTTCAGTGGGTTTTAGAGAACTCTAGCTCAATACTTCTGGGCTTTGCTACTTGATTAACTCCTAGATGAAAAGTTTCATCTACTTGGTGTTATCACTGTTGGTTAATGACAGTAAATGATTAGCAGTAATCATTTGAACTTTAAATAGCTGTGAAGTGTTAGTTCACTTTGAATGTGTGCTTGACAACTATTTGTATATTTTGAAGTACTTGAAAATCCCTAACATAGATCATTATAATTATCCAAAAAGCTTCCCCCCCTCTCCAACAATTGACATGCCACATTAGGCTGAAAGCAACAAATCTCTATTCCCAGGAGTGAATGGAAACAGACATGGTGACTTGTCAGAATTGAAGTAGAATAATAAAAGTTTCAAAAGAGCAGATACTAGCTACAGGAGACGAATAATCTGCTTAGAGGGAAAAAAAACCCATCCTAAATTAAAATACAGGGAAACACTGTTCAAATACCCATGTGGAAAAATATACAGGCTAATTTGTATAAAAACAATACTATTTGTCCTAAACTGATACATTCTGAAGCATAAAAGACATTTTTAGAGCTATGCATTGGATGTATTGTTCAAAAAATGGAGATAATAGTTGTTTAAACCTCATTGAGTTACTTCTATTAAAAGGTTTAATATATATAACGTAGTTAGAATAGCACCTGGCATGTAGTAAGTACTACATCAGAGTTAGGTGCAGCTATTATTATTTTATTTTTACACTGCTTAATTTTGATAGACTGTGGACAAATTCAAATACAGATAATTAGGAATTAATAGCACCTAGGGTAGTGCAGTACATTCAAGCATTCAGTAAATATTGTTGACTGAATAAGTTAACTGTAAGTGCAAGCCATCCACTTCTTTAAAAAGCACAGATCTCAGTACCCTTAATTTCAGGATTTAGAGGGGCCCCAAAGAGTTCCTCACATTGTTGATGAGACCACCAATTCCCTGATCTTGCCTCTCCTCCTCACTCTCCCTTCGGCAAGTTGCTAAAAACCAGTCAAAAGGAGACCACTAAATTTACCTGATTATTCACTTCTTAAAAGCACCCATAAACATATCATCAGGACTGACTTTAGATCTTCTATCCCTTTTAGCTTCAATCACCACAAAAAGTCCAAACCTTTCACGTCACTCTCGTTCATTTTTTTAGCCCTATGTGACTCTGGTATATCTCTGTTTTAAACTTCCATTTATCTCTTATCACCCGAATCTGTTCCTTTGAAACTCCCAGAATCTCTTTTATTTACAACCTCTTCTGTGATGGTTCATCTCACCTTTTTTTCTCATGGAATGCTGACATTCCCCTGAGAATACTTTTTTTTCTACAGCCCTATCAAAAAATGGAACTTTTATCTGTCACACCCATGTACCATTGGGACCAACAGGAGGATTTCATGTCTTTCTTTGCTTATCATTGATACTTTATGAATAATTGTACCTCTTCCCTCTTTTACAAAATTTAGATATCACCAGGCAGTATTTTTTCCTCTCCATCCTTTTCTGGTCATCTGCATCTCTCCCCAATCACTTTCAGTCACTGATGATTTAAATACCTGGTTTACTGTCTTTTCTCTGCCCACTATTCCTGTGATCATTCTTAGTGATTTTCAGTAT